TACTTCCTCTGAGGTAAAGCTAGTTACTGAGTTGCAGAAATCCTCGAATGCCTTTTTTTTAAGAGGGGATTTTCTGTAGCCAATCAGATCAGTGCTTCATTTTAAGCCAATTTATTTAATAAGTGACTGGTGTCGAAAAGAGGCAACTGACCAGTTTAGTGGATTAATTCAGCTTTCTGCAATGATTTGCTAACCAAAATGACAACGTTAGCATCTCTGCTAACGGAGCTAGCAAGCTAACAGCCACGTCTGTTGGCTTGCTAGCTCCTATACTGGTATACTAGCTCCTATACTGGTGTCGAAAAGAGGCAACTGACCATTTAGTGGATCAATTCAGCTGTGTGCAATGATTTGCTAACCCAAATGTCAACGTTAGCATCGGCACTAACTGAGCTAGCAAGCTAACCGGAAGTGGCTGTTAGCTTGCTAGCTCCGCGATGCTAACGATGTCATTGTGACACAGCAGCGGTGTGACATTTGAGACTACACTACGCGGTCGAAATTCCCACACTGTGTTCTCCGTTTACGACAAAGTATCAGAATTGACACAAAGCGTTGGTAGCCCAACCTAGCACGTTAGCTTATGTTACGTTAGCATTTGCTAAGCTAGCGGCTGCACATGTCATGGTCTACCTCGCAGGTTTCGCAGTATTAAGGTAGCTTAAAAGATTCATTGATTTTTTGTTACCCAACAGTATAGGTATAGTGACAATAAATGCGCTTTTATTATAATATGAATACATACCTTCTTTCCAATGTGTGGCCTTCTCTTATTTCCAATTGCTTGAATTTGATACTTGGCGGCAATGATACAGTAGTGGGTGGGTGGGACCTGACCCTGAGATAGGGATTGGTTGGTCTTCTTCTTCTATCACTTTTGATAATGGTTGGACAAACTCAAAGCTGCATGTGACCAGAGGATAAGTGAAAGACAAATAAGAATCTGGCTAAATAGGTATGATAATATTAGCATTTTGGGAAAAGATAATGAAAAAGTTTGTAATTGCTAATACATATGGTTTTATATCCCAGCACCTATAACACCTAAAAAAATCATCATATAGACCAGGGGTTTTCAAAGTCTGGGAAGGTGAGCCTCCCCTCAGAGAACATGAGAACAGCCGCGCCCCCCCTCCCAATTATTATTGCTATTATTATTGTTGTTGTTGCTATAATGCAGGGGTATTCAATTGCATTTCAAAGAGGTCCAGTAAGAGCAAATGTCATTAAATGCTCTGTTTTCGCTGTCTACCTTTCTCTTTTTTGAGCACGCCCTTTGAAGTTACTCCAACTGTTTCTCTCTTCTTGTCTCGTCTCTGTGTGTTTGAATCTATCGTGCTGACTCACTGACAGCACCGATTTGATTGGCTGAGTAGCATCACCTCCTAAAAACATTAAGAAATAACTTTTTAAAACCTTTTTATCTTTTTGTTTTAAATATTTGTTTTAAACATTTTTTACATTTTCAACATCGTGGATGAATCCTTATATGCTCCCGGCAACACACTGAACATCAACTTTGCCTCCTTATTACACTCACCCCTACTTTAGTGCTGGGAACAATTAGTCTGCGTCTTTGATGCGCACAGGTGGATGATGCGGGGATCAGAGTCCTGCGGGGATCAGAGTCCTGCATTGGGTCGGTACCCGACGGGTGACCCGCAAAAAAAGTGATTCGCGGGTGGTAAGATTCCTCAGACCTCTCCCCGCGGGACCGCACACAATCATAACCTCTGCACCGCATCAATCTGCTGCTGAGCGCGCCACATTCGAAATGGCTGAGGTGAAGCTCTAGCGGAGAATACAGCATTGTAAATAACTCTTCCTCAAGAGCGAAATCCAACATCTAGGAGGCTTTTGGTGTCATCCTGGATAGAGAAAATAACCAGCAACATCCCACGCTTTTTGAGCCAAATACGCAACTGCGTGTGTTAATAATTGCATGTTTTCAGTGCTCCTAGGATATGCGGGTTCGGGTCGGTTTGCTGATCTTGTGCCGACGGGTCGGGTCGGTTTGCGGAACTAATTGGCAATATGTGCGGGTGGCGGGGCGGGTTCGGTATTGCACGTTGCAGGTGCGGGGCGTGAGCGGGTCTTGAAAATCAGACCCGTGCAGGACTCTGGCGGGGATGCAATGTAGACAGGAATAAACGCAGATCATCCTCTGGCTGCAGCCTTGACCGGTACTTGCTTTTGATCTAAGTCAATGCGGAAAACCCGCACTCACACAGGTAGGTGGAGGTGAAGGGAATGAGCACTTTTACAACCTTTTTGGCGAGGTGGGGGAACTCGGTCTCCACAGACAGCCAAAAGTGTGCAAGTGACACTTTACTCATCTTGTTCTCGTTATTTTTTTCTCATGCTGCGCCTCCCCTGAAGCTCTCTGGCGCCCCCCCAGGGAGGCGCGCCTCACACTTTGAAAACCGCTGATATAGACCATACAGTGGTAGAGTATAGATTATTTTTGTAGACTAAACCGGAAGTTAACATCTTACTGCTTTCCACATCATGTAATTTTTCCACTCGATTTTTGTATAATATAAAATCTGTGGCAAACAAACACATTCACACATATTACCAATTTATGATTTTTGAACTGTAAATGCATTCACTGGAAGGAAAAGCTAACGGAAAGGCTATAAAGGAACTACATCAAGATCACGTGACATAACGTCACCAATGCTAAGCTAAATGCTTGCTGGCTTATTTAGTCACTTGTTAGCAACTGTCGTTTTTATGAGACGTAGAAGCTTCGGAAATGTTTAACATAAAACCCAATTGAATAAAAACATTTTATTTGAAGCTGAAATGTTGTCTAATTTCGGTGGCTTAGGACTCATTCCCGAACCCCTCTGTAGACCAAATCACGGTGACGCTGTGTAAACAACAACAATAACTTCTGTGATTTGAAGAATACACTACATGTAATAGTGCATATAAGAGTCAAAGAGGTAATTTCCATACTACGCACTGTGTAAAGAACATGATTAATAATAACACAGCAGGTGTTTTATTTAATTCACCCAATGAGATTATTTCTTCTTCGTGATCAACAAGAAACAGAATGTAGTTAAAACAAATGTTAACCCCAATAAAAAACATAAAATATATTACAAAAAATCCCTCCCATCACACACTGTTACAGCTGATGTCTCACACACTGACTCTGAAAGCCAAAATCAGTTCCTTTTTAATTAAAGAAACGTCTTCTGCTGCCTGGCAAAGAGAAACGTTATTTTACAGACAGAGTAAAGTGGATCCTGGAGTTGGTTTTTTGGGACAAAGACAGCGTGATTAGAGCGAGGCAGATATCATCAGTGTGCCTGTGATTTGACTACAGTTACACACCTGTCTGCTGATAGCGAGGCTCGGTTTACCGGTCGGAGCGAGTACCTGAGCGAGGATCTGTAATTCTGTATATATATCTGCTCCATCAGACAGCTGCCAGACTTAATGAAGCCCCCCCCCCCACTAAATTACAACCCAAACCCTGGTCTTCAGGTGAAGCTGCTGCAGAGATACAATCAACAATTAAGGATTTTAAAATGTATAAACTTGTATTTTTATGAAAAATGAAAGACATTAAGAAAATGGCATTAATACACATGTATTTAATACCTTTAGTTACTTTGCAGATCTGGATGAATGATGTGAAATATAATCAAGTCTTAAATCAGACTTTAGTTCCGCCTGGAGTAAATTCACAAGCTACCCTGCAGTATACAAAGTAATTCAAACTAGCTGCACCTTTACCAGCTTTGAGAACACTTTCATGATCAATCATTATAAAACATATCATATATTATTCTGAAATGGACCAATCTGCACCATGACTACTTTTACTGTCGCTACTTTAACTATATTTTGATGATAATACTTTTATACTTTTACTTGAGTAACATTTTGAATGCAGGACTTTTACTGTAACAGAGTATTCCTATACTCTGGTACTTCTACTTTTACTCAAGTACAAGTTCTGAGTACTTCTATTTACTCAAGTACAAGACCTGAGCACTTCTATTTACTCAAGTACAAGACCTGAGTACTTCTACTTTTATGTGCTGTTTACACGAGAACGCAAACGGTTGTATCCGCTACTTTTCTCTTTCGTATAGCCCGTTCATTCACACAAGGCCGTAACGGAAACGCGGAAACGGACCACGCAAACGATAACGGGTCCCAAGGTGGGTAGATCTGCAAACGGAACGCTCTGGGGGGCCAAACGGCTCCGTGTGTACGCTCTATACGATCATTTCCTGATAACGATGAAGCCATAGCCTCGCCTCTCCCCACCTCTGCTGCTCACTGCTGTAGCATGGTCAGTAGCTACTGTCAGTACTGCTAGTGCTAGTGCTACTGCTACTGACCATGCTACAGATGTTAGTGCAAAATCTACAGCTCCTCTACCACAACCATCAGCAACAAGTGGACATGGAGAATTACATGAACTACATGTTGCTAAATCCACCGCGGGGCATAAACAGAAGGGCAACCATGGCAACCATGCTCGGGAGTCTTCTTCGCTGCTTTTGGTGTATTTTGTGGCGAGAGTACAGCGCCACTTACAGGCCCGGCATATGTACTACAGCGTCTCCAGTGCTTTCGAGCGGTCTCGTGTGAACGGAAGACTTTTTTGATATCGTATTCGGTTCGTTTGCGTTTCATATGCGTTTGTGTGTAAATGGGGTCTTACTCAAGTACAAGATCTGAGTACTTCTACCACCTCTGGTTTTGAAGTACTTGCAGAATTTCCATTTACTGTGTTATAATAAATAATACTGTTTCGTCAGCCTTTTAAATATGTGGTCCTGCTTTTCTCTGTTTTATATGTTATATATAATTCATGTTGGTTCATCAATACTACTCGTATCTCTACAGTTTGTTTAATAGTTGTTATTTTTCATGCAGATAATAACAAAATATTTATCAAATATGGAAATTTGTCTTTTTCTGAGCCTCCTTTAGACGAATCAGATTAAAAAAACAATAACAACCAGCAATGATATCAACAATAAAACGATTTATTGGTAAAAACAACAATAAAAAGTGCTTTACAGGAAATAAAGTGAAATTACAGCAACGTAGAAAACTTAGAAAGCGACTCCAAGGGTTCAAGATCAAGAAAAGACATGAGAAATATTTAAAAGAATCCGAACAACGAGGTTAGCCTAGCTTAGCACGATAACTGCAAACTGATGTGAACTAAAAACTAAAATGATATCCATCTTTTGACAGAAGACTAATTAGTTTTTATTGATGTGCAAAAGGAGTTTGGTCCCTACAAATATAAAATGACACACATTAAGAGCCAAAGAACAAAACACACAAACATCTTTAAATCACAAGAGACTTGAATTTGTAGTTGCTTGAATTAGGAATATTTATCCTTCTTTAAAACCGATTGAAATAAACATTTGTACTATCGTTATGTAATCTGGCATTAAAGGAATGGTTCAGCGTTTTAGGAAACACGTATTCTGTTGAGGAGATCTCGTCTGTGTGGAGTCAGGACTTGGTTAGCCTAGCTTAGCATAACGACTGGAAGCGGGGGGAAACTGCTAGCCTTGTCTCAGTGAGTTTTAGAGGCAAAGTTAGATGTGTTTTTATACTTTAAAACAGTGACAAGCTAGCAGTTCCCCCCTACCTTCAGTGTTTATGCTAAGCTAGGCTAACCATGATCCCAGCTCTTTACTTAAAACACCAACGAAAACGTTCAATCTCACTTTCTAAAAGAAAACAAACAAAAGAAACAAAAATGTGACATGATTTAAAAGAGAAATCTGATAAGATTAGAACTTGACATAAACATCATTACAGTTACATTTTAACATACATTTGTACAGGAAATGCTGTTATTTGGAGATTGTAACTCTTACATTTAAGTCCTCAGAAATGCATTAAGAGCACTGCTGCACAGGTGGATCTCTGACAGCTGCTTGTTTGGTTTCCTCCTCAGACAGGTAAAGGGAGACAGGTGTTTTGTAGTTTTTCGCGGCCGGTTTGCCTCCTCAGGTCGGAGCTCAGAGGTTTTGGGCCTGCAGTCGCTGGCGTCTCTTCTCCATCGCCTGCTGCTTCTTCAGAGCGATCTCTGCTGCCGAGCATTTACCAACATCTGCAGAAAACACAGAAGATACGGTGTCAATTTTAATCAAGAAAAACGATGAGGGTGTAAAGCGTTTAACCTGTTACGAACCTTCCGCCCGGTACCGGGCGGATAAACGCGTCATTTGCAGGAAACAACGTCTAAGGAATCTTAATATTGAATAAAACTATGAATGTGTTATATCCATGTAACGGGAAGAAGCTAACTGATCTTTTTTATTTTTTTTTTCAAAAAAAAACCACAATGCTAGCACTCAGCCTCTGAATTAGCCAACAGCGAAAAAATATAACCCATCTCTGCACCTAAACTCACTCTAACTCCCTTATTACTTATCCTAGATGCACAACCAAACACTCGTTTTTGGTGTCCTGGAGACACTGAATCTACCGGTGCCCTCCTCAACACGCTATAAACGAAAGCGTACATCATCACATGTGGAGCTAAGTAGCTAAACACGTAAACATGGCTTACCTTGGTCAAAACTGGTCTTCAATGGCATTAAAACGATAAAAAAACGATGCTGCAGTTAATCCATAGGTTCATCCTATGTGTCTGTGCCTTCTTTGAAATTATTTCTGATAATCCATAAGCAATAAAACTGCTTTTTAGTTTCCAAACTCCAGAAGGAGAAAATCTGCAAATCCAGTTTCAGTTCTAGACGCGTAGCCCCCACCTTTTCTATTTACAACGAATGTGTATGTAAGCCTCCCCCTTCGATTCTATTGGCTCTAACGGTCACAAGGGTATGTCAACCAACCAAATCGACCAAGGGGGGCCAGAGATAGGTCAAATCCACCCAAATGACCCCAGAAGTGGGGTTTTTTGGCTAAATCTCTCTAAAAAGGTCAAATTTCACTTGTTTTGCATCAATCTTGATACAGGGTACTTATTATATGTTGTACTTTGGATTCCTAAAGCTTTTAGTCTACTAACCCATCATCCAAGGGTAGTTTTCACTATCTGTAAAAAATAATTTTTGGACGGACACTATAATTTACAGTTTTTTACTATGTAAAATCTGAATTTTCTTTAAAATAAAAAACATTTATATTGATTCTGACACTTCTACATCCAACTCACAGGTTTATCATTACTTTGAGAACAAAGATTATTAATTTAACCCTTTTAGAAGGGAAGATATGGTCATTTGTTCTGGGAATGTCATTTTCGAGCCTGAGACCTGAAAAACAGGCTCAGAGTGGAACAGGTTAAGGGCTGATGTTCCTAGAAGATTAAATGTGGTTTAAAACATTTACAGAGCAAGCTAAGTTAACATATAAAGCTCAGCGCAAGTTCAACCAGGAAGACCGTCTTTACTCATTCATTAACTATGTCTATGTTACTACTCTCTCTCCTCTCAATAAGTGATCGGGGGCGTCACTCCCCAGCTTAACCAATCACTTCGCTCTATTCTCACAAGCCTATCATAGCGCTCCGCTAAACCTTTTCAATCTGCTCTTCCCCCTCTGACAGCTGTCATTTCAGGTGACTCGACGCAAGCCTCCTCCACCCCTTTTCACCTCCTGTCCCTCTGAATCCAGGGTCAAGCTAAGCCACTCCCCTTCAGACCGACCCCAACTATCCATTCACCACCACCAGGGTCAAGCTAAGCCACTCCCCTTCAGACCGACCCCAACTATCCATTCACCACCACCAGGGTCAAGCTAAGCCACTCCCCTTCAGACCGACCCCAACTAACCATTCACCACCACCAGGGTCAAGATAAGCCACTCCCCTTCAGACCGACCCCAACTATCCATTCACCACCACCAGGGTCAAGATAAGCCACTCCCCTTCAGACCGAACCCAACTATCCATTCACCACCACCAGGGTCAAGCTAAGCCACTCCCCTTCAGACCGAACCCAACTATCCATTCACCACCACCAGGGTCAAGCTAAGCCCCTCCTCTTCAGACCGAACCCAACCATCCATTCACCACCACCAGGGTCAAGCTAAGCCACTCCCCTTCAGACCAAACCCAACTATCCATTCACCACCACCAGGGTCAAGCTAAGCCCCTCCTCTTCAGACCGACCCCAACTATCCATTCACCACCACCAGTGTCTAGACCCCGGGGGGTTTCATCAGATCGGTTCTCCCCTCCCGAATGATACTCCCGCACAACGGGGCCTAATCGCCAAAACTCCATCACATTCATTCGTGTATTCCTGGCAATAAATATGTATTCTTCTTACATCAAAACCGAAACCGAAAATACATGATTTGTTACTAGGGTTGCAAAGTCCTGGGAAGATTTTAAGTAGAAACTTTACTCATAAATTAACACTAATGTAAGGATATTAACAGTTTAAAGTATAGGGTTTAAATGCTCAGGCTGCATTTACCCTTTATTGTTTTTAATAAAAATTCAACAATTTAATTGATTTGATCGACTTTACACCCCACAGTAACAGCGCAATAATTAGTATTTCACTCTAGTGATTGTGATCAAAGCTGTGAAGCAGTGACGCATTAAAAAACATCTGCTAACCTTCATAACCTAGTTGATGTTTGCTCAAAATGCAGAAATAATTGCAGTTTCTTCTTCTTCTATCATTCTACACTATTATTATAACTGGTACGCCAAAAAAGGTTGAGATCCCAATAATAGAGACCATTATTTATCAATAGCTATAAACATGTATTTTATTTGTAACATGCATCACTTTTAATAATGGAAAATAATTTATAACCCTGGTGATTTTATAATTGTAACATCCAGCATCTACTTTGTGACAGTGTTGGACAGCGACTGGTCAAATGAGAAAACATTCGTCTTGTTCAATTTTATGTTTTCGTTTAAAAAATCGTGAGAATTCGCCAACTTTTTCCAAAACTTTGCAAGAAAGAACTCGTCCATCACCAATTGTCAAACTATAATAATACATTTCATTTATATAGCACACTTTAAAAACGTCATCTCAAGCTGCTTCACAATGCTGTTAGGAGAAAATAATAAAACAAATAAAATAAAAAGTTATCTAAGGAGCATATTGAATAAAATATGGTAATGTCAAAAAGGGTTACCTTGGTTGCTGATTGGCTAATGGTTACACAAGCCAAAACATCGTTATGACATCACAAAGTGGCCAAAATCTGATCAGCTCATTTTCAGACAGGTTTTTATAGAAATGGATCAGGACAAAAAGAGAGAGAATCTTTGTTCCTGAAACTTTCAGAGTCTCTTTACACAGAGGGGACACATGATGATGTAGAAGAGACATGAAGAAGAGGAGACACATGTTGATGAAGAAGAGACATGAAGAAGAGGGGACACATGTTGGTGTTGAAGAGACATGAAGAAGAGGGGACACATGTTGATGTAGAAGAGACATGAAGAAGAGGAGACACATGTTGATGTAGAAGAGACATGAAGAAGAGGAGACACATGTTGGTGTTGAAGAGACATGAAGAAGAGGGGACACATGTTGATGTAGAAGAGACATGAAGAAGAGGATTTTAGATAATAATTGACCTTCAAAGGAGGAAATGGGTAGACTCTTACCATTACTTGTCACAGTAGAAACCGGTTTGTTCGGCTTCTTGAAGGTGAACTTCTCTCTGTGGTTTCCTCCTGACTGCATGGAGCTGTTCGTGGATCCAGACGAGTTCTTCACTTGTGTGGATCTGAAAGAATTCGTCACCTGTGCCCCGACGTTAGAGACGAACCCAGCAGCCAATGAACTGCCAGCTGCTCTTCCTGAAGCAAAGGAAACATTTGTAGGAGTTGGTTTTTTAGGTATGAAAGTCTGCTGATTGTACGGCTGCAGCGTCGCTCTCTGGTTCGACACTGGACCCGCGGGAAGAGGCTGTTTTGTCAAAGCTTTTGGCACGTTTTGGATCTGGTTCTCCACGTCTTCGCACATTTCACACAGCAGGTCGTCGTCAGCGAGGTCGTCCCAAACCGGGTCGGACTCGAAGAAAATCGACAGGTCCTCCTCTTGGTGTTCAGAGACAGCAGGCGTTGAAACTACTGTGGGTTTTATTGGAAAAGTTGTTTTTGAAGTGTTTGACGCAGTAGAAGAAGCCGAGTTGTATTTAGAAACAGAATTATTTTGATTAAACTGTTGTCTTGGTGGATCTGACTTCATTGTGTTTGACGTTTGTATGTTTGATGCAGTAGAAAAAGTGGAAACAGCAGTCTTTTGATTAAATTGGGGTTTCAGTGGTTGTGATTTCACTGTGTTTGATGTTTGCCAGGTATACTGAGAACCTGGCACTTTTAAAACACTGTTTCCGGATGAAAACGTGTCTTTATCGGCTTTTTTGGAGCTGTAATCCACATTAGAATTTGCCCATGTGTCCGTCTGGATTGGTTTGACAGGGAAATTAGGATTAGGCTCCAGTTTGAAACTCGCTCTTTGCCTCACATTGTCCTTCTCCACTTTAGAAACAGCCGATTGAACAACATTTCTTTGACTTTCTCTTGGAAATGTGACTTGACTGGGTTGTTTCTGGGTTGAAGCGTGCTTTGGGGAGATGAATTTATGAGGATTCTGCGTCATCTCCAACACTAAAGAGTCATTGAGCAAGTCGTCGTTTTCCCAATCGTCGTCAAAGTCGTCCTTAGTGTTCGACGTGGGAACAACGGGAGTGGGAGTGTGTGAGGAAGCAGATGTTTTCCCAGAAGCCTCTTTGGCTGCTGGTTTCGCTTGTGACGGCTGAGCTGACAACACCTGACTTAAGTTTCCGCTTAAATGTTGGGTCGGTCCGTCGAACAGGAAGTCCAAATCGTCCTCCATGTGTTGATCCATCAGGTGCAGCTGAACGTCTGGACCTGGACTCACAGCTGGGGGCTGGTTTCCAGGAAGAGAAGGGGAGAAGTCGTTCTGATCCAATATGTCGTCTGACAGGAGCTCTAGGCTCTGCTGATGAAGGTCCTTCAGCTCTTCTTCCTCGTCTTCTTCCTGACGAAACATGTTGAAGTCAAACTGCTTGGCGAGCTTCAGCAGGTCGTCCACCGTGTTCAGCCTGTCGGGAGAAAACGGAACAATTAGTTTATTCTTTGGGGTTTGAAGACAAAACGTGCTCCTAATGGGACTATTCTTTTTGCTTTCAGGCAAATGCAACGTCCATAAATGAAGAGTTGACAGAAGGATTTTTTTTAATAAGGTGCAATTTCCTATTTTGAATAGGCTGTAAAAACTGTCCTTTTTAATAATTTATTTGCTTTGTTTATTTTGCTTCCACAACATGCATATGTAGAATTTTTGTAATGATTATTTTTACTTATAAAATATATTTCTGGTAGACGTTTTCTTATTTATCTTTTCTAATGTGTACATTTTCTGTTGGTCCTTTGACAATATGATCTCCTGTTATGACCTTGCAGATGTATACCTAATATGTATTGGATACAGTTTTTTTAATTAGATCTGCTAAAAAAATTATTTGTTTACTCTGTTGTATTGACAAATGGCTTAGTGCATTGTTATTATTAGTATTTATACGAGCTAAAAGGAACTATTGGTAGCAGCAAACCCAGGTTAAAGTTTAAACATGACAACATATTTTGAACTTTGGAAGGTGGTTTTTAGGAACAATTTCAAAGCCTGTAGTTGTATATTAATTTGTGTTTGTAAAAACCTTTTGTTGTGGAAACTCAATCACGTGATCATGAGCAAAAGATTTATAGTTGCAAATACAATTTGTGTTTGTACACTAGTTATATAAACTAGTGATGTAAACTTCACAGACTATGAGAAACTGAAGACGCTGTTAGAGGCTATGAAATGATTTATGAACAATATTTCACAACTTTAAAATCCTATTGTGCGTTAATTAAGCTTATACATTTCGAACGAGCGGATTATGATAAACACCTGAAGCTCGGTTACAGTCTAGAACGAACAGATGTGTGTTTTTTGCTTCTTCTGAACCCACCTCGGGGATTTCCTCTTGTGTTTGGGGACCTGAACGTCGGGGGTGCAGGGGATGGTGTCTCCGATCCACTGCTGCAGCGTGGGCTCTGCCACCTTCGGTCTGCCATGCTTCAAAGACACAGGAAACAATACAACATGAATATTAATACATGCAGTAATTAAGACACAAAAATAGACAAAGAAAACAATAAAATAACTTCATAATAAAAGGTTGTTACTGACCTTTGGAGCGATCCTGTTTACGATGTCTGAGATGTTCACAACTCGAACAGGCTGCTTCTTCGCTGCTTTTTTACCTGGAATAAAACAAACCAAAAAGCTCAAAATGAATATTTTTCAAACAAACGTAACAAATAAAATCCATTAATGTACAGTTTACACTACTAAAAAAGGAATTCAGCAATAAGTCAGTATTAATATCTTGTTGAGCCGCTCATAGTTGAATTGACTTGTCACTGCAGCAGTTACTGAAATGATTAACTTGATCAAACATTCACAATAACACTTTGCAAAGACAGGTGTTTACCGAATCTGTTAGGTGAAGGAGAGGTGGGGTCCCAGATGATGTCCTGCTGGAAGTCAGAGTCGTTGTGCGGAGACTCTGCACTGAAAACACCCGTCCTGGACCTCGGGATCCGGGTCGGGGTCTTAAATTCTGAAAAGAACCAGAAACGAGCTGATTGAGATTCAGAAGCAGATTCAGAAACGATGACCAGTGATGTCCAGCTTATTCAACTTCGGTTAACTCTCTATTGTCTATTTTTTCTGCACTCTGCAGGAAGTCAGAGGTCAAGGTTTGAATGTCTTCCTATAGTTAATTCAGATATACTGATGGATAATCTTTTTTTTTAATGTATCATTACACAGATGTGCAGTTTTTCTAAAGACAGACACAAGCTCCAACTGATTCTAGCGTTCCATGTTTTCTTCTTACTTTTAAAAAGTCTGAAAGTTAAATATAGTTTTGTTAACATGGAAAATGTCTACACAAAAGCCTACCCATGGATTTGTATGATCTTCAGGTAAATTACCCCACATGAAACCCAAAAAGCAGCATTTTATTTTAGCTTAATTTAAAAGTAATGCCCCCACTTTACTCGCACTTGATTAGGACTACTGTTTATTTTTTTGTTTTCTTTGTACTGTTTCTGTTTCTGATTTTATGTAAAAAAATGAGCATTAGGAAAAGCGCTAGAAAAATCCAATGTATTATTACTATTATTACAACATTACAGACTCATTCAAAGAACATCCATCTGTTGCAACTTATCAATATTCCAATTACTTATTCTGCACTATTTCTACTATATTCTATTTTATTTTATTTACTTGCACTATTGTATCTGTGTTATTGTGTTGCACTGTTGGAGGAGCCTGTGACCTAAGATTTTAATTGTCATAACTACACTGTAGCTAGGTACAAATGACAGTAAAAGCCTTGAATCTCTTCTCGGCACACCAAATATGGGCTTCAACGGCCGGATGTTTCCTGGGGGCTTGGATTGGATGTTTATGTCATAGCAGACACAGAGGCAGGTAATAACTTCAGAAACTGTTAGGAAAAATATCACTCGTCACCGGCTTGAGTTTCAATCTCAGGGTCCATGTATTTAGGATCCTCTCAAGAATGGAAGTAGTCATCACATACAGAGCATCAACTAGTTCCTGAACAGTGTCCTTCACATGCTGATATCCAAGAGAGGGAGTTACACAGTCCCAAGATGGAGGAATATAAAGCAGTATTCAATGTTTAGTTCAGATTAGCTCCACGTCAGAAATGATCATGCTTGTCATATGTCTATCTCCATAGAGGCTGAATCATCATGTTAATCACATAGCTATCATATGCCTAAAACAGTCCTGATGCTCTTCTAGGTAATCATACATCCTGGCATGTACACAGCTACAGTTGGGACACCTTTGTTATCATATTACTCTCATATTGGAAGAGTACATTCAGTATTTTCCCAACAGAAACCTAACATGAAGTTACTAAAATGAATAAATACTGACCCGACTTTGGTCTGATTGGAGAGTCTTCCTCCCCCGCGGTCTGTGTGTTTTGAGTCTGCCTGAAACTCCTCCTCAGTCGGTTAGTTTTCACCGGCTGACCGGACGGAGCTTCGACCCTCCCCCGGTTCATTGTGAGCGGCCGTTAACGGTTAGAATACCGACGGTTTGCTGTTTTTACGTTGTGAAATGTGTTATTATTGACAGTTTATCTTGTTCGTTGTGAAGAATTCGGACACTCGGCGGTGTTTTTGGACGTCCCGCCATGTTGTAATTCCCAGGGTTCCTTGCGGCGGTGCCTTCAAGAGCGACAAAGCTGCTCGGAAATTGCGCATATGGATAATTTCAGTCTAAAATGCAGCGCCGTATAGATAGAAGAGTTGCGACAGCGGAAGTCCAAAATACTTGATCGTCACGTGGTTCATGGTTCACTATCTGAGTCAGGAAAGGCTTCTCAATTCTATAATTTCCCCTCCTCGACTCCTATCCTCGACTCCTATCCCCATGATTTAGTCCCGCCCACAGGACATGCGAGCGGAGGAGTCGAGGAGGGGAAATTAGAGAATTGAGAAGCCTTTTGGAGACTCAGATAGTTCCCGGAAGTTCGTGGCGGGCCATTTCAATGCATCGATAACAGGAGATAGAACTGCGATTTGGGGTAATTAGTAGTCAATAAGGTTTTGATTTGCAATATTTATACAACATACCGATATGTGTATGTATTTACATCAATATGTTTTAAAAATAAAATATAATTTGCTCTTATTTAGAGATAATATTAGGATTAGTGTGAACAGCTATCTTACTTGCCTTGTTAACATATACATGTTAGGCTAACGTTGCCTTGGTTAAAGAGTCTGTTGCTGTTTATTGCTTTGAATTCTTTAAAACAAATATTATCTTCTTAAACTTGTATGGTAGTCAGGAGCATCACATCCTAATGTTTATTGATATATTTAGAGGGAGGGGATGGCAAGGAATGCTTCAAAATTTAGATTAGATACATTTCTACCATTTATTTTATTCATGGTGGTTTCAGTAATCCCATGGTAATTGAGGACCTACCTTATCTAAATGACTAATGTCATCGTTATGACTTTCAGAAAGGACAGGAGACCGACAGGTGCCTATCAATGATTGTCAACTGACAGCACAATGAGTCAAAGGACTAGCAGCAGCAGCATGATGATGATGTTAAATGTATTGTTTTAGGAACATCCATTGTAAATAAATGGAATTCAATAAACATTGAATAGCATGTCATGCAGTTTGTCTGTGCCTTTTCCTCTGTGTTGTCCTGGCATATAGTCTCCACCATGGTTTGCTGTGCTGCCTGGGGATGCGCCAATCGCTCAGAGAAAGGAGTACGAATGTACGGCTTCCCCACTGACACAGAGAGGAGGAAAAAATGGCTGGCTCAAGTCAGCAGGAGCCATTTAACCATCATAACAGTGAACAACAGCAACAAAATATGTGAGGTAATCCTATTCAAACATTTGCACTCTTTCACAAAACGAAGACCACACCATTGGGAAGCTTAATGTTTGGTTTAATAAAACTAACAGGGAAAGGCTTGAAAAACTCTGAGAGTTGAGACTCAGGTGCAGGGGGAGGGTCTCAGTGCAGGTATTCAGGCTCCATTGAATCCCCCTCTGGTTCTTGTGCTGAAAGAGGGAGAAACAGACAGGAGAAAGGGTTATACACACCTATATAGCACACCTATTGGATGGGAAATTGCCTTGGGGAGATAAGGTGTGGTCTTTGTTCCCAACTGAAGTTATGGAACTTTATTATTTGTGAGTTTAACAAAGTATGAAAAATGGCATCAGTAACGGATGTGATATGAAGTTGTCTCACATTCTTGGTTGTATTTTACATACAGTATGTAATGAGTGTATACATGTCCCGTAAGTATAAAGTGTTCCCCAATACTGTGCATTCAACCACTATGGGATATGTATGTGGTTAGACAAAACTGAGTTGTTGTGTGTGGGAAGTAACCTCAAGTCACTCTGCAGGCACATTTTGAGGCAGACCAGTTTGTCCATACCAAAAAGGGCAAGACTAGGCTGAGAGCAGATGCTATTCCCACCATCTTTGTGCATCGCCCTGTGGTCAAAAGGAGGAGGGCCCCTGCACCGCGATGTACCCCGGGACCTGTAAATACAGAGCGCATAGCTAATGATCACAGCTATAGTGTGAAAGGTGACACAGGTATAATAAGTCTGAACTATTAATAATAAAAGTAATATTTCTTATTTTTAAGTGCTATAATATTTTGAATCTTCGAAAATTAACAGGGCCATGTCTTCTACTTACATTAGTCTCAAAGAATGAGGGAAGAAGGGATGAGGAGACTGAGAGAAGGGAAAGTGAGGGTGAAGAAAGAGAGGACATGGCTAGTGAGGAGAGACAGGGAGAGCGGACACCACCCAGTCAGCCAGCAGCCAACATCCCTGCTCCTCCACCTGCCAGCACCACTGCTCCTCCACCTGCTCCTCCACCTGCCAGCACCACTGCTCCTCCACCTGCTCCTCCACCTGCCAGCACCACTGCTCCTCCACCTGCTCCTTCACCTGCCAGCACCACTGCTCCTTCACCTGCCAGCACCCAGCCAACATCACTGCTCCTCCACCTGCCAACATCACTGCTCCTTCACCTGCTCCTCCACCTGCCAGCACCCAGCCAACATAACTGCTCCTCCACCTGCCAGCACCACTGCTCCTCCACCTGCCAGCACCACTGCTCCTCCACCTGCCAGCACCACTGCTCCTCCACCTGCCAGCACCACTGCTCCTCTACCGGCCAGCACCACTGCTCCTCCACCGGCCAGCACCACTGCTCCTCCACCTGCCAGCACCACTGCTCCTCCACCTGCCAGCACCACTGCTCCTTCACCGGCCAGCACCACTGCTCCTTCACCTGCCAGCACCACTGCTCCTCCACCGGCCAGCACCACTGCTCCTCCACCTGCCAGCACCACTGCTCCTCCACCGGCCAGCACCACTGCTCCTCCACCGGCCAGCACCACTGCTCCTCCACCGGCCAGCACCACTGCTCCTTCACCTGCCAGCACCACTGCTCCTCCACCGGCCAGCACCACTGCTCCTCCACCTGCTAGCACCACTGCTCCTCCACCGGCCAGCACCACTGCTCCTCCACCTGCCAGCACCACTGCTCCTCCACCTGCCAGCACCACTGCTCCTCCACCGGCCAGCACCACTGCTCCTCCACCTGCCAGCACCACTGCTCCTCCACCTGCCAGCACCACTGCTCCTCCACCTGCCAGCACCACTGCTCCTCCACCTGCCAGCACCACTGCTCCTCCACCTGCCAGCACCACTGCTCCTCCACCTGCCAGCACCAATGCTAGATTATTAAATAAATAAAATATTATCATCATCGCTGGTAAAATGTACTAAAAGAGCCTCATTTAATATAATTTTTGAAGTACTTTTTTGAGTATTTTAAATGTATTTCTACCTATTTCTTCTACTCCGCCACATTTCATTGACTTTACAATTTCGTTGTACCTGTACAATTACAATAAAGAAATTCAATTAAATGAAGTGTTTCACTGAATTCATTTATATACTGCTGGTTATACTGGTGGCTTGTAATAAAATATGTCTTATTTGACATTTCACCTATTGCGCAAAATCCACTCTTTCATGTCTCTTCTACATCAACACGTGTCCCCTCTTCTTCACGTCTCTTCTACATCAACATGTGTCCCCTCTTCTTCATGTCTCTTCTACATCAACATGTGTCCCCTCTGTATAAAGAGATTCTGGAAGTTTCAGGAACAAAGATTCTCTCTCTTTTTGTCCTGATCCATTTATATAAAAACCTGTCTGAAAATGAGCTGATCAGATTTTGGCCATTTTATGATGTCATGATTTTTTGGCTTGTGTAACCATTAGCCAATCACCAACCAAGGTAACGTTATTATAGTTTTCTCTATCTGTGTTTTTTATTTTTGTTTTACTTTTATGTATGCACCATGACATTAAGTCAAATTCCTCGTACGTGTCAACCTACCTGGTTACTCAAAGAAGTACAGATACTCGTGTTTAAAAATACTCTGGTAAAAGTAGAAGTACTGACTAAACTTCTTTACTCAAGTAAAAGTAAAGAGGGCTTTGAAATGTACTTAAGTAAAAAGTACCCATAACTAGCAGCTGTTTTAAAGAGTACCTGACCTCCCTTTATATTAATAGAACAATAATGTCATTGTTAGCTAATGAATGTTTCCATGCTGAACAACGGCAACATGACAACGTTTCCATTGGTCCCTCTTCTTTAGAGAAGACCAGGAAATGATGGATACACGGATCGTGTTCAAATCAATAGGCACGCAATGACTCTAAATAATAATGATCACGCCACCAAACACACATTCAAACTAAAGTAACCAGCCTGTTTGGAAAATGTAAGAAGTAGAAAGTACAGGTATTTGTGTTCAACATGTAAGAAGTAGAAAGTTCAGGTATTTGTGTTCAACATGTAAGAAGTAGAAAGTACAGGTATTTGTGTTCAACATGTAAGAAGTAGAAAGTACAGGTATTTGTGTTCAAAATGTAAGAAGTAGAAAGTACAGGTATTTGGGTTCAAAATGTAAGAAGTAGAAAGTACAGGTATTTGTGTTCAAAATGTAAGAAGTAGAAAGTTCAGGTATTTGTGTTCAACATGTAAGAAGTAGAAAGTACAGGTATTTGTGTTCAACATGTAAGAAGTAGAAAGTACAGGTATTTGTGTTCAAAATGTAAGAAGTAGAAAGTACAGGTATTTGTGTTCAAAATGTAAGAAGTAGAAAGTACAGGTATTTGGGTTCAAAATGTAAGAAGTAGAAAGTACAGGTATTTGGGTTCAAAATGTAAGAAGTAGAAAGTACAGGTATTTGGGTTCAAAATGTAAGTCAAAGTCAAAAGTCGTCAGAAAAATAAGTAGTGGAGTAAAGTACTGATACCAGAAAAATGTACTTAAGTACAGTAACTAAGTATTTGTACTCCACTACTTACCTCCTCTGGTAATAAACCTGTTTCTGATTCTGATTCTGATGATCCATTACAATGATCAGGATTGAACATCACAGATGCAGAGCAGCAGTAAATCTCAGTTTATCTCGGAGACATGAGACACCAGACTCGTGCAGCAGCAGCAGGGGATGTTTGTGAAGCTTTCAGCAGCAGCTCTCCTCCTCCATCGTTTCCCCAAAGGAAGGATTAGCACGTCACATCCCGCTGGGCCGACAGTACACACACACTGTGATGTGAGCACACACTGAAAACAAGCTCACTTCAAAATGAGA